CAGAGCTCCCACCACAGAGTGCCCTCCCAGAGCTCCCACCACAGAGCGCCCTCCCAGAGCTCCCACCACAGAGCGCCCTCCCAGAGCTCCCACCACAGAGCGCCCTCCCAGAGCTCCCACCACAGAGCGCCCTCCCAGAGCTCCCACCACAGAGCGCCCTCCCAGAGCTCCATGCACAGAGCGCCCTCCCAGAGCTCCATGCACGGGGCGCCCTCCCAGAGCTCCATGCACGGGGCGCCCTCCCAGAGCTCCATGCACGGGGCGCCCTCCCAGAGCTCCATGCACGGGGCGCCCTCCCAGAGCTCCATGCACGGGGCGCCCTCCCAGAGCTCCATGCACGGGGCGCCCTCCCAGAGCTCCCGGGTGACTGTACTCATAGAGCTCCAGCCATAGAGGGAGATGCTGCCTATACCATCTCATGCCAGCCCTTTATATACAGTGTCAGTGCACCCCCTCTAATACCAATTCATTACCCACCAATGCTGTCATTGTCATTGGCCATAGACCGTTGGCAGCCGTATTCTGCAGCTCTGTCATTGGCCATACACCGTTGGCGACTTACGCAAGAGGGCAAACCATTACCATACAGAATTATAATGAGCGAGATTCCTGGGAGAGAGGTGACCGTGACACACCTCTACACCAACATTTGCTCTTTGCCCATTGTGTCCTCTCTGGGACTGACTCAGTACCTTGCAGGGTTATAGGGTATCCAGTGCTGAGCACACTGCCTGCTCCCTACCCATTGTGTCCTTTCTGGGACTGACTCAGTACCTTGCAGGGTTACATGGTATCCAGTGCTGAGCTCACTGCCTGCTCCCTGCCCATTGTGTCTTCTCTGGGACTGACTTAGTACCTTGCAGGGTTACATGGTATCCAGTGTTGAGCACACTGCCTGCTCCCTACCCATTGTGTCCTCTCTGGGACTGACTCAGTACCTTGCAGGGTTACATGGTATCCAGTGCTGAGCACATTGCCTGCTCCCTGCTCATTGTGTCCTCTCTGGGACTGACTCAGTACCTTGCAGGGTTACATGGTATCCAGTGCTGAGCACATTGCCTGCTCCCTGCCCCCTGCTCATTGTGTCTTCTCTGGGACTGACTCAGTACCTTGCAGGGTTACATGGTATCCAGTGCTGAGCACATTGCCTGCTCCCTGCCCGTTGTGTACTCTCTGGGACTGACTCAGTACCTTGCAGGGTTACAGGGTATCCAGTCCTGAACACACTGCCTGCTCCCTGCCCCCTGCTCATTGTGTCCTCTCTGGGACTGACTCAGTACCTTGCAGGGTTACAGGGTATCCAGTGCTGAGCACACTGCCTGCTCCCTGCCCATTGTGTCCTCTCTGGGACTGACTCAGTACCTTGCAGGGTTACAGGGTATCCAGTGCTGAGCACACTGCCTGCTCCCTGCCCATTGTTTCCTCTCTGGGGCTGACTCAGTACCTTGCAGGGTTACAGGGTATCCAGTGCTGAGCACACTGCCTGCTCCCTGCCCATTGTGTCCTCTCTGGGACTGACTCAGTACCTTGCAGGATTATAGGGTATCCAGTGCTGAGCACACTGCCTGCTCCCTGCCCATTGTGTCCTCTCTGGGACTGACTCAGTACCTTGCAGGGTTACAGAGTATTCAGTGCTGAGCACACTGCCTGCTCCCTGCCTGTTGTGTCCTCTCTGGGACTGACTCAGTACCTTGCAGGGTTACAGGGTATCCAGTGCTGAGCACACTGCCTGCTCCCTGCCCATTGTTTCCTCTCTGGGACTGACTCAGTACCTTGCAGGGTTAAAGGGTATCCAGTGCTGAGCACACTGCCTGCTCCCTGCCCATTGTGTCCTCTCTGGGACTGACTCAGTACCTTGCAGGGTTATAGGGTATCCAGTGCTGAGCACACTGCCTGCTCCCTGCCCATTGTGTCCTCTCTGGGACTGACTCAGTACCTTGCAGGGTTACATGGTATCCAGTGCTGAGCACACTGCCTGCTCCCTGCCCGTTGTGTCCTCTCTGGGACTGACTCAGTACCTTGCAGGGTTACATGGTATCCAGTGCTGAGCACACTGCCTGCCCGTTGTATCCTCTCTGGGACTGACTCAGTACCTTGCAGGGTTATAGGGTATCCAGTGCTGAGCACACTGCCTGCTCCCTGCCCATTGTGTCCTCTCTGGGACTGACTCAGTACTTTGCAGGGTTATAGGGTATCCAGTGCTGAGCACACTGCCTGCTCCCTGCCCATTGTGTCCTCTCTGGGACTGACTCAGTACCTTGCAGAGTTACATGGTATCCAGTGCTGAGAACACTGCCTGCTCCCTGCCCATTGTGTCCTCTCTGGGACTGACTCAGTCCCTTGCAGGGTTACATGGTATCCAGTGCTGAGCACACTGCCTGCTTCCTGCCCATTGTGTCCTCTCTGGGACTGACTCAGTACCTTGCAGGGTTATAGGGTATCCAGTGCTGAGCACACTGCCTGCTCCCTGCCCATTGTGTCCTCTCTGGGACTGACTCAGTGGGATGTGTTTGGTGTCCACCTGATATTAAATTCTCTCCCCCCCAAAGCAATATGTCCCATTGATTTCTGTTGTATGTCAGGCTGGGTGATACGTGCTGATGTTATGAATTCTAATACACTCAGTATTATCACTCCGAGTAATCCTCCCTTGATAAATAAACGTTTATACTGAAGCAGGAAAACTTCATATGACGTGTCCCTGTTTGCATGGTTATGAGTGAATTGCATAATCCTGGTTAAATCCTGCATTGTGCTGGTTAGTAAATGGTTAATCACTGCGTTTATGTTAAAGTTCAATTCTTTTTATTTTCCTTTCTTTCCGTTTTGCGCAGAGACTCCAAGGCTCGCCTTTTATCTGCCACTTTTTTTGTGCTAAATTTACTTTAGTCTTCGAGTCTCTAGTGTTTTGTTTGCTTCTGTAATTATAATTCTCCTGTTAATTAAACAGACAAACATTCAAAGGGATCTGCCAGAAACTCATTTTCTTAATGAAAGGCAGCGCTAGATGCACATAAATGAATTTAACCTGTTGGGCAAAAGCGACAGCTGCAAGCCATCCTGCAGAACAAAAGTCTTGCCTGCTTCCTGGCACATAAGGTGTTAACCATAAATGCTGCTTTTTGCGTAGACGTTGAGTGCCTTAGCAGTGAATAGCCTTTTGACTATCAGGTCAGTGTGCTCACTGTGTGTACAATATATGGTTATCCTGAAATATGCCGCTGCGTTTCGTTTACTCTCCGATTCCTCAGGACCTGTTTTTAATCTATGTCCTTGTACTCCGAATCAGCACCACGATCACCTCTTTCCATCATTTAACAATTTGTGCCTCACCGTAAAGTCACATGTGTTAATAACCTGCCAGCTGATATTATCTTGGGTTACGTGACCGATTTTTATAGAAATTAAGACGCTCCGTTCTGAGCAATTAAATGAATTCAATAAAACTTCCAAAAATGTAAAACATGCACAAAAATACTTTGTAACCAAACAGTAAGCAGCATATATAACATGGCAAGTCCACTGAATGTTGTGTTTGGTACACCGCGATCCTTTGTTCTCAGCATACACTCCGCCCCCTCCCGATGATGCAAGATATTTAGTAAGTGACGTGTTTCGCTTAATCGCGTGAGCGTCTTTATATGCCCATCACCTTGGCTTGTTGTGCACTAACATCCTGATAAAGTCATTACCAGACAGCGGGCATTAATTCTCTAATAAACCCCTGTCACCGGACATGGCGGGCGTTAATTCTCTAATAAACCCCCGTTACTGGACACGGCGGGTGTTAATTCTCTAATAAACCCCTGTCACCGGACATGGCGGGTGTTAATTCTCAAATAAACCCCTGTTACTGGACACGGCGGGCGTTAATTCTCTAATAAACCCCCGTTACTGGACACGGCGGGCGCAATTTCTAGCCAAACCTCGCATACACGGCGGGCGTTAATTCTCTAATAAACCCCTGTTACCGGACACGGTGGGCGTTAATTCTCTAATAAACCCCCTGTTACTGGACACGGCGGGCGTTAATTCTCTAATAAACCCCTGTTACCGGACACGGTGGGCGTTAATTCTCTAATAAACCCCCTGTTACTGGACACGGCGGGCGTTAATTCTCTAATAAACCCCTGTTACCGGACACGGTGGGCGTTAATTCTCTAATAAACCCCCTGTTACTGGACACGGCGGGCGTTAATTCTCTAATAAACCCCTGTTACCGGACACGGTGGGCGTTAATTCTCTAATAAACCCCCTGTTACTGGACACGGCGGGCGTTAATTCTCTAATAAACCCCT